ACGGCACTGTTGCCCTTCTGTTGTCTTGTACCAGTCTTGCCCCTCCTCCGTTCTGCCCTAACATTGACTAGTCGCTGACGGCCACAATTCGCACGTTCAGACCCAGATTTTCGGCTGACAGTCCGGTCTTTAAACACTTTAACAACAGCTGCTCTTGAACATTTAACAAATTCTGCTGTTTTTCTGATACTCGCTCCATGGCTCCGAGCACCAACAATCATCCCAGGCACCTCGGAGTGGTGGAGACCTAGCTGATCATAGTTCAGCAGTGTGCAATGCACCTTTATTTTTAAGGGAGATAGCGCAGCAAAGTCCCATAAAAGTAAGAGAGGTTTATAGAGTTCAGAGGTCAGTAGAAAGTAACACAGTCCAGAGGTCAGTAGGTAGTAAGGGCAGTGTGCAGGGGCCAGGAATAAGTACCGCAGAGTTCAGAGGTGAGGAGTAAGTAAGGGCAGTGTGCAGGGGTCAGTAGTAATGGCAGGGGGCAGGACTAAGTAAAGCAGAGCCCAGTAGTATATAACAGAGTGCCGGGGACAAAAGCAAGTAATGTAGAATTCACATGTCAGTAGTATGTAATGCAAAGTGCAGGGGTCAAGAGTAGGGATGTACAAATACCAGTATCAGTGCCAATACCGAGTACTTAGGCGAGTACCCTTACTTGCCCAAATGCTCCCGATACCGGAACTTCCGTTATCAGGAAGCCGGGCGGCAAGTCATTACCCGCCCCCCAGCTTCCTGATTGGCCAGAAAGCCGTCTCCATGCTTCCTCCTCACCTCGTGATGAAGGAGCATGGAGATGGTTTCCTGGCTAATCGGGAAGCCGGGTATTACACACCGCCTGGGTTCCTTTATGGGACTTTCAGTATCGGCGAAGACCGAAAAAAAATATATCGGTACTTGATGCCGAAAAACTGGTATCGGTGCATCCCTAGTCAAGAGTAAGGAAAACAGACTTCAGAGGTTAGCAGCAACAGAATTTAGAGGTCCAAAGCATGTAATGCAGATTGCAGGAGTCAGAAGTAACACAGTGTAGAGGTTGGGAGTAGCACGCATCTCCTCCCCGCAAGCAAAAATACTCACCTTCCATTACGAACATCTACCCCACCCTTCTAGGTAAAATTCACTCAACAGACCTCAGACGCAGTGGCTACCGTAGAAGTGAGGGAAGTCCTCAGGTTTCTCTGAGCCCGGCTGTGTCACATGACAGGTCAGAACCGAGGGGGAGTCTAGGACTTCCTTTGCCTCTGCAATAATCTGAAGTCTGAGAGGAGGCATGGAAAGGGTTGGTCACAATCTACCCCTGTATTAAACAAAGGCATAAGAGGCTGAGCTCCTCAGTGTGACAACACAAACCCCGCAGTGCTCCCGGAGGTGATCTCTGACCTTTGCTGGGCTTTTCCTCTGTAGTGTTGGCCAGTAAGGGGGCGGTGAGGACATGCATGCAGTGCTTGTAGAAGAATCCCAAAAATTCCGTCTTCTCTGTTTTCTATGAAAAACAAACAGTAAATGCTCAGTACAGTAAGATTAAGAGACTGAGGTGACCTTGCTCAGACTATGAAGCCATTTCCGAGCTGCAAACAGAAAACACAGCAGATACATATCCATCAAGTAAGGAAATCGCAATAATCTGCGTGTGATGGGAAGTGCACAAAAACATTCCCCAGGGCTGAGGGACAAGTCTATGTTTACGTGGCCCCACTCCCCTACCAATTAAACTGAACTCCTCCTACCCCAGGCCTATACTTACAGCTGTAACCCAGTGCTCACATTGTTGGAAATGAAATCCTCATCAGAACTTAATAGCCAAGGATGTAAACATCAGACTAGCTTTGCAATGCAGGCAAGAGGCTGGGGGAGGATTAGCCCAGTTTAGTTTAGGATGGTGTGGGGATGGGTTAGCATTAGTTTAGGTAAATTTGAACTTGCCCTTTAAAACCCGCTCCTAACATTTAAATGAAAGCAGACGTTTAAATGCAGCTATATGTGGAAGCCACATGTAACAAAGCTTGCTCTAAAGTCTGGTGCTCCAATCTGAACACACCAACATTGTGACCTACAGAGTAATGAATAAAGTGAAAGCAGAGCTTACTTGTATATTACCTCACAGCTCCTTAAAAGGCACAATGACACATGACAGCTGAAGAGGTCACAAACCCCTTTTGCAAAGCTGGATCTATACTGTGCTGCCTAACATTTAATGGAAGTACTGGCAAGCCCGCTATCACTTCACTCAGTGTTAAATATACCCAATGCAGGTATTCATGGGGGCCAACATGGCATGAAGTTTCCATGTCTGCCAATCTGCATAGAATGTCAGTGGTGATAGTCTAGCAGTGGGGTGAAATAGGATAAAGTGATATTAAAGCCTAATTTGTTTTTTCATTTCTCCTTTGAGGGGACCCTCCTTTACTGGAGGCTGTTGCTTTTTTTTTTCTTTAAAAGTTTTTCATTCCTCGTTTTCTAGTGGGTGCCCGCAGCGCTTTTCCCCACGCCCCCTGCACGGGTGCCACCATCGTTCTAATAGAGGCACCCATGCACGCTCGTGCCCACAGTGGCTGTGTGCGTCCACAGATTGATGGCAGAAGGAGCCTACGGCTCCTCTGCCATCAGTATCCTCCCCCTGCAACCCAGAAGGTCGGGGAACGGAGGATTGCTTCGGGACCGGCGGCGGGGACGAATGTAACTGACAGGCAGGTAAGTGTGTGTGTGTGTGTGTGTGGGGGGCAGAGAATGCATTAAAGATAAAAAAACGCCCAGACCTTAATGCTACTTTAAGCACAAAAAACACACCAGTTAATAGCCCTGTGGAGGGTGGACATAGCACGTGCACAGTGTGTTATTGCATCCAATAGCAAGATATACAGAGAGGGAAGCCTCTGGCAGGCAGGGAGAAGTCTCAAAACCATGCTCTTCCACTGCTACAGCAGGCATTTTCAAATGCAATGGGAAGACAAAGTACTGAAATGATTAAAACGCAAACAGTGTCCAAGCCGATTTGTTTCTTACACTGGTAGTCGCAAGCATGTTATCTGGATCCACTAACGTCCGCAACAGCCCCGTGAGCTGTACAGCGCCTCCCAGCTCAGGATCTGTATCACAGATCATATGTTCAATGATGAGATTGATCAGAAGAATGTCCTACAAAAAAAAAAAAAAGATTTTTTTTCAATGAACACATACTGTAGCTGAAAGAGCATCTTTTTAACATTCACCAGGAGTTCTGATATAATATACATATAAAACAAAAACATGAATCACATCAAAAGGTAAAAGTATAACTTACATCATCATTTTGCTGAGATTCCTGCATTACAAACTCTCGGACCATGGATGGGTTATATTCCACCAGATATGAGAATATATCAGTGGCTGCACTTCGAACCTGTGAGTCGTCCATACCCTGCAAGGAACAGAAAGCACATGGATAATGTGTAAGAGCACAGGCGGCACATGGATAATGTGTAAGAGCACAGGCGGCAAGTGGAGAGTGTAAGAGCACAGGCGGCACATGGATAATGTGTAAGAGCACAGGCGGCAAGTGGAGAGTGTAAGAGCACAGGCGGCACATGGATAATGTGTAAGAGCACAGGCGGCACATGGATAATGTGTAAGAGCACAGGCGGCAAGTGGAGAGTGTAAGAGCACAGGCGGCAAACCCTTTGAACTGCATATTATATCAGTTCAAGATGAACACCAGCCTTTTAAAAAAAATTTAAGATGTTGCACTCACTTTCCTTAGCAAAAGTCCTATAATGATTCCTTATGCAGCATGCTCCGGTATTCTTAAATCCTGGCTGTAATATAGCCTTTGGATTCTCCCTGGGAGCTAACTTCCTGTACAAGGGATCAGTCTCCCTAGCCAGCTCCCTGTGCCATGGGTGTCCAGTCCCATCAGTGCTCCCCTCTATTATATTCAGGCAGCACTGATGTCAAGCACAGCATTTTACATGTAGGCTAGGTCATGGAGTGTTTTACAGCCTGAAAATGTAGCTTGCTTTCCTTCACCTTTCCTGAACAAGCCAGCCAGAGTGCTAGCTGTATGCCTGTCCTCCTGCACCGAGATATATGGGTGAAGCAGGACTCTAAAAGGTTTCACTATTAACAAACACGCATGGCAGAATCTTAACAAGACTTAAGACAGCATTCTTAGAGAAAAATCTAGGTAGATCTACAAGACAAGCTCCTATCATAGAAAAATAGCCCACAATAAACGGGCACAAGCACGGGAGCTAAATGTAGGGAAAGAGGAAGCATCGCCTAGTTGTGTAGCCCTGCTCCTCTGCATTCCTTTAGGCCCCATTCACACTGCGCGATTCGCAAATCGCGCGTTTGTTGCGCAATTTGCATTTTGCGCGATGTCGCGCAAAGGCTTGCATTGAGCAAGCGAGAATCGCGGCAAAATCCGCTCCAAAAAGGGTCCTGCTGTAGCGACACACGACCCGCGTCAGCAGGACCCTTTGCCCCATTGAGATGCGTTGAAGAGCGATATCACGCGGTAAAATGCCGCGATATCGTGGGAATTACTGCGCGATAAATCGCTCAATGTGAACGGGGCCTTAGGTGACGGGTCAGAACACCTGAGAGAGGGCATGCAAACAAAGACAGTACAGCTGTGGGGGGAGAAGGTTGATGCATTGTCAGAGGTGTGCAGCCCCGATCCTCTACATTCTCTATGATTGTTGCTTCCAGGGATGGCAGTTCACTAAGGAGGCTTGTACACAAACACAGTACAGAGGAGAGGGTGAGGAAGCCTGGTTACACGGGAGCATACGTATGCTGCTGCTAATTCAGACACAGTCGCAAATGCTGGGATATTAACATGGACTGCCGATGTTCCCAACAATCCAGGCAGCCTGTGTGTTCAGCAAAGACATGGGAGTGATCTCCTCCCCTGCCAGCGCCTACACACATGGCTATAGAAATGACCGAGTGCTTCAGTGGTGCTCTCCCCATAGCTCCTGATGTTTCAGGATTTTTTCAGCCGCTGTGATGATGTCACAAGAGCTAACAAAACTGAAAAATTGTGTGCGAGTGATGGTATACATGGGTAGAGGGAGGGTTAGGGATAATGTCAGCTGTTTCCCGGGGACGAACTTTAAAGCAGGACCGTTCTCAAATTGCCCTTACCCAAACAGCTGCAAACATATCCGGCAATAAGGAAATACAACAAAGCTCAATAACATCAACTTCAAGCAATCCTAATGTACTGGTAATCAAGACCGTCAGAAGTGCAAGACGGACGCTTATTTATGGATGACATTTCAGGCAATTTCTATTTTCATATAAAACAATGCGCCGTTTACCAGAATCACTTCCAGGGCGGGCAGAATGCCCATGTTGGACAGGGTCTTGAAGAAGGTGTCTCTGTTCTGAGGTTGTAATGTTTGAGAAAAAGCACAAAACTCTTTCAGGAAATTCACCTGTAGCACACAAAAAAAAAAACAGGGTACACTTAACACTGCAAACAAAATGAGTAAACCACTCAATGAATGATAGCAACTATCATAAAAATGACAACACTGTAAGAGGGGAAACACAGTAAGCAAAGGGGCTCCAGGGTTAAATGATCAGTCCTCTCAGATCAGTCCTCCCAAATCATGCCGGCGTTCGCTCACCTCTCGATCCTGTCACGGCTCTCAGCCGTGACAGGGGCTGGATTCCCCCCTCCCCGCCAGTGCTGATTGGCAGAATGGACACGCAGCTGGGCAGATCCCGGCATAATTGTCGGGATCCGCTTGAGCTGCGGCGTCTCAGTGTACCGCGAGCTGTAGCGCGTGGTATACTGAACCTAGGGTGACGGGAGGACGCTACTTTGTGTCCTCCCGTTATCCTAAGGAGAACTATGGGGAAAAGCCTGAACCCCATAGTTCTCCTTTAAAGCTGAAGAATTAAACCACTTAATTTAGTTAATGAGATAGAAGAGCCTAAAATCCCAGGTCTGTATATCCTCCTGCACCTACAGCCTCATAGCTGTATATAAGCAGTTTGAGGATCATCTAATGTACTTCTGCCTCGGAATGCCGGTCTCACCGGATTTGGAGATGTCACTACTGTGATGCACACTGTTCTCCTTGCTGTAAAGGAAGCTGTACCCGAGGACCTGCAGTGCAAGGATCTCTGTGCTTCCGCCACCTCTTGTCTTGTTTCTTAAATATTACCCCACTAGTGAAAGCAGAACTCTGGGGCAAAATATCATCATCATCCCTTGCAGTGGGGCTACCCCCACACTACAAGGGTTAAGTGCTTGTTTTTGTTTAGGATTCAAAAATAACAAAGTCATACTCACCCAAACCTCAGCGCCGCTTCAGCAGTCTAAGGTCCCCGAGTTTTAACATTCTGAACACTGGGAGGAATTTATCAAAACTGAAGCAGACAGAATCTGGAGACGTAGTGCACAGCAACCAATCAGCTTCTCACTTACATTTTTAAAGCTCAACTGAGCTAACTTGAGAGAAGCTGATTGGTTACTGTGGGCAAGTGCTCCAAGTTCTTTCTGCTCCATTTTTGATAAATACCCCCCACTGGTGTATGAAATGTAAGAACGCAGAGAGACATACCATCATTGCAGTGAAGAAGAGACAGGCTCCAGGGATAGGTCTAAGAGAAATCCGCCTCAAAGGATCAGGTGAGTACGACTATTTTGTTAACCTAGACAAAAACAAGCACTTAAAAGAGAACTATGGGGTTAGGGCTTTTCCCCATAGTTCTCCTAAGGGTAACGGGAGGACACAAACTAGCGTCCTCCCGTCACCCTAAGCTCAGTATACCGCGAGCTGTAGCCTGTATATTGAGACACCGCAGCTGAAACGGATCCCGACAATTATGGCTGGATCCGCACAGCTGCGTGAGTGACAGCTGGCTCTGCCTATCTAGAGGCAGAGCCAGCTGTACCTGCCCCGTCCGTTCCGCCAGTCAGCGCTGGAGGATCGGAGCGGGGAATGCAGCCCCTCCCCTGTCATGGCAGAGAGCTGTGACAGGATCAAGAGGTGAGCGAAAGCCGGTATGTGTTTGCTCACTTCCCGATCTACTGAGCCGACCTGTGACAGTTTCATTGTCACAGGTCGGCTCAGATTATGAGGCTGAGGGAAAAGCACTCACCTCATAATTCTCCTTTAACCCTTGCAGTGCAGGAGTAGCCCCACTGCAAGGGTTAAGAATATTTTACCCTGGAGTTCTGCTTTAACGGATCATCAGAGGTGTAGCTCTAACATGAGGAATCAAAGCTCTGCCTCTAGTAAGATGGCTGCCTCCATGCAGAACAAGGCGCCGTAACTTAGTAGTGAGGAAGAGATCGGTGCAGAGAACCTAGAGGTAATAGCGGTATCTTTTTTCAAAGTCCAATGTCCAGATCTTGCTAAGATACTACAATTAAAAATTACAATGATCCCGACAATTGTGCCGGGATCCGCCCAGCTGCGTGACTGACAGCTGGCTCTGCCTATCTAGAGGCAGAGCCAGCTGTACCTGCCCCGTCCGTTCCGCCAGTCAGCGCTGGAGGATCGGAGCGGGGAATGCAGCCCCTCCCCTGTCATGGCAGAGAGCTGTGACAGGATCAAGAGGTGAGCGAAAGCCGGTATGTGTTTGCTCACTTCCCGATCTACTGAGCCGACCTGTGACAGTTTCATTGTCACAGGTCGGCTCAGATTATGAGGCTGAGGGAAAAGCACTCACCTCATAATTCTCCTTTAACCCTTGCAGTGCAGGAGTAGCCCCACTGCAAGGGTTAAGAATATTTTACCCTGGAGTTCTGCTTTAACGGATCATCAGAGGTGTAGCTCTAACATGAGGAATCAAAGCTCTGCCTCTAGTAAGATGGCTGCCTCCATGCAGAACAAGGCGCCGTAACTTAGTAGTGAGGAAGAGATCGGTGCAGAGAACCTAGAGGTAATAGCGGTATCTTTTTTCAAAGTCCAATGTCCAGATCTTGCTAAGATACTACAATTAAAAATTACAAAGAAAAGCTGGAGTCACCAAGAAGTATGAGAAAATCTCAGCCCAGACATCATCTACACTGAGTGGCCAGATTATTATGACCACCCCATCAGTACTTTGTTGGGCCACCTGGTGACTCCACGAGAGGATGAAAGGTGATGCGAGGAGTCTGACACAGCACTGTTGCCCTCCTGTTGTCTTGTACCAGTCTTGCCCCTCCCCCGTTCTGCCCTAACATTGACTGGTCGCTGACGGCCACAATTCGCACGCTCAGACCCAGATTTTCAGCTGACAGTCCGGTCTTTAAACACTTTAACTACAGCTGCTCTTGAACATTTAACGAATTCTGCTGTTTTGCTGATACTCGCTCAAAAGGCTGTTACATCGCGTTGTTTCCCCGTATCTTCAGAAACAAATCACTTCTACCGTCGTGGTAAACAACCCGCTTCCCTATTTATAATGGTCTGGCCCTCTAGCAACATCAGCGCCAAATTATAGCTAATTTGCCTACAAACGTCAGGTGGTCATAATAATCTGGCCACTCAGTGTATAACTGACTAACAATTAAATATGCCATTCGCACGGCTAGACTTACCAGCTCCTGCCTCTTTTCATCATCTGTCGCTTCATCTGTGAGGTGCGCAAATAATTCTGTAAGAAATTTCTCATCTTCCTAGGAGGTGGGTAACAAAATGAAAAAGTTAGTAATGTGCACACGGATATCCCCATTCTACAGTGATGTACCACTCTGCAATTTGTTTCTTCAATGAGTTTTAGTGATTTAATAAAATTATAAGTTTGCGCTGTATTTAACCAAAAGAACTCAAGCAGATTTCGGAATCAACTAGAAACGCCACAAAACTGCACACAACGTACATGAAATAAAATGGAGCAAACATTTGCAAACATCCTCTGCTGATTTCAGCTGTTTTAGGCTGGGTTCACACCGAGGCGACAATGTTTTTGCACGTTTTATGCGCATACGTCAAAGTGCGTGTTTTTGTGAGCAGATTGTAGCTCATTGAAGTTGATGAGTTCCTACTGAGTCTATGGGGCCAAAACGAGCTGTAATATACCCAAAAAAATAAAGCTCCTGTACGTTCTCCAGCGACAGGCATTTTGCTTATTGAAACAAAATGCTTTGATGTGAACAGGCTCATAGAAAAGAATAGGATTTTTTTTTAGGGCAGAAAAAGCGCTACAAAATGCTCAGTGTGAACCAGGCCAAAAATAAAGATGGCAATCACAATACAAAGACTAATAACTGCAGACATGTACCCTGCTCATGAGAGCTTACAATCTAGCAAGAGCAAACTTACTAGTTAAATACACGAGACTATGTCATCACCAAATCTAAAAATGTCCATCTAAGAACATTACAATCTAGAACACCGTGCTTCAGAATTGAAACAAAAGATGTTTGTCCGGAATGAAAAGTCGCGATGTGTTAAGATGTCAGACCACCAAAAAGTTTTGTTTTTTTTAATGGAAAATACCACTGAATGGTTTCTTGTATCCTTCAGGGTACCAAGTGCTGGGATACCTGGCACTTGTGTTAGCAGGTCGGCAGATCTGTTACAGTCTTTATTATATATTACAGCAAAAGGAACGGTAGGAGTGGGAGCACCCCTAAGGGGATGGGAACCAATCGAGGATTAGGGATGAGGCGATGGCCCCAATATATTTTTTTTGGGAGCTTAAGGAAGCAAGCAACATAGACAACCACAACAGATCACATTTGGTTGGACTGACCCTTACATTTTTAGCTCAATTATTTCCATTCCTCCAAGTCATTTAATGGCAGACATACAGATGTAAAGCTTTGTTTGAAAAAAAAAATTAAATAATGCTTCCAAGCATGTCAATTCCTTAGCACCGCCCCCTCTGCTCTTCCGGGAGTGTCTAATTACTGTCTGTGTTGGTCCAGCTCCTCCTCCCCTCACCGGCCTACATAACCTGTTTGTATAGCTCCTCTGGTAGAAGTGAAGGGGAATATTAAAGGGCTAGTTCACACCAGCCACAGTGCGTTCCAGCCCTATACTGGCCGAAACGCACTGAATCGCATTACGACTGGCTCACTTTGTTGTAGGGCGGGATGGTGCATTGAAGTGCGTGGTCCCTGCAGCCACACCTTCCGGCCGCAATGCGATCGGCCGCACAGGAACTAGTGGCGCATCAATCTCTGCGTTCCGGTCCAGTAAAAATAGTGCGTGCAGCATTTTTTCTGACCGGAATGCAGGCATTGATGTGCCTTGCGTTCCCGCGCGGCCGATCGCATTGAGGCCGGAGGGCGTGGCTGCGGTGCCATTGAGCTCAATGCACCGCAACGCCCCCTCCTGACCCACAGCAAAGTGAGCCAGCCGCAATGCGATCCAGTGTGTTCTGGCCCGGAACGCACTGTGGCTGGTGTGAACTAGCCCAAAGAGTGTCACTTGAGTGACCGCCCCGAGTCTGCTAATATCACATTTCTACATAGGGGCACCCAGCTTCCATTTCAGGGCTTTTGGACATCTACACAAGAGTGTCTACAGGTAAATGACATGCATTAAATACAATACACGCACTATTCTTAGGGGAAAAAAGTTGAAATTAAAAGTCTGATGACAGGGTCTCTTTTACTTAGAAATCTCAGAATTACCTAAGAGCAGCTTAACCATCTCCTTAGACAACTGCACTGGTGTAAAGCCATGGTAGGGTGATGGCAGTGCAAGTTTGCTGTCAAAGGGCAAAACTCTGTTCAGACTGAGCTACAGAATTGCTGTTCTCGGCTGAATATCACCTTTTGGCAGAACCACGGCAATCCTACCAAGGCTATGTACGGATAAAAGCAGCAGAAAGCGGCTCAGACCTGTTGCTAGGCGAGTATTATGAAACAGATTGGTGGTAGGGCATCCAGGTGGCTGTAAAACTGCTTAGGTTAGCAAGATTGGTTTAGGTTCCCAATAACAGCACATACATGAGTAGATTAAATATATGCTCCTATACATGGATTTCACAATGGACTACAATCTCCATACAATTTAATAAACTAAACATGAGATTGTAATCCATCCCGGGGGGGGTGCTTGGAGCAGTGACAACGGGGAACAGACATAGCCCCCCTCCAGAAGGAAGGACAGTGTCAGAGATGATTGGAGGATCTACAGCCGAGTGATACACAAATAAGATAGTTGCTCAGAGTTGAGGTACTGGAATACATTTTTACGTCACTTTTGTAATGGACCTGGTGATCCTGCCATTTCCCCCGAATATCTCTTGATTTCTGGGTGCCGGGCCAACGCCACAAATTAGAATGGTCCCTCACATGGAAGCTGTACGGCCTCATTTTTATGCATAATCTCCGGGCTTCCCCTCACTCCACATGCTCACAACTCAGACACAGGAACATACAGCTCCATCCTCCCTCCCCGTGAATCGAGTCTGAAGTGGCAACGTCAATTCCTTTGCCGATGTCACTCCCTCCGCCAAATCTCTGCACGCCGCTCCCCAGAACCAAGGGTTAGCAGTCACTCAGCTGCATATAAACTAAAAGATACATTTTATGTGGACTTAAAATAAACATAAGACAGTGAATAATGTTAGAAGTACCATTTGGGCTGGCGTTAATATGATGTCTTTACATCTACTTTAACACAGCAGTGTGTGTGTGAATAAGCCTGAAGCTCTGCAGTCCGGGGAGAGGTCATAAAGACAGCTGAATGTAGACAACTGCACAAGTCACAACACAAAAAAAAAAAAAAAAAGCAAAACAAACATAAAAGTACATTTCTTTCAGGCCGATGAACCGGAGCTCCAGAGCAGGACCTTACCTGTAACATCCCAACTATCTCCACCTTGTTAAAAAATATGAAAGAGTGGAGAGTGGACAACATGTTCTCTTCAAAGACAGAAGGGGTGGGCAATACCACGTCTTGTATATACTGCACTCTGTATGTCTGGTGGATTTTCTGTTTCAGTTCAGGGTCTGATATGGGAATCACCTCTTTAAACTTAGCAGTTTGTGTCAGAAACTCACGGTGTTTGCGCTGCACGGACAAAGAGGGGTCGAACTCCAAGCAGCCGATGATGTCCATAATGCAGTCTTCTGAAAACATGACCTCAAAGAGCGCAGTTCGGTTTAAAAGGAAGATGCCCTTGATTATTTCAAACAAGTGGTGTAATCCTTCAATGTTCTCCAGGTCTTCACACACGTGGAAAAGTTCCAGGAGTTTTTTGATGTAGCCCTCACTCTCTAGGGCCAGGGCCAGCTTCTCGCGACGGAGCGGAGACGGCAACGACGATGCCACGACTTCCGCAATCTCCTCTAGGTGGCTAAGTTCACAGGTTGGTAACTCCAGCCCTGGGGAGGACATGTCCTCGAAGCGCTCCTCTTCCGATTCGTCCACAAGGTCCTGAGTGATGTCCACCGAAGGGTCTTTCCCTTGAACCTGAAAGAAAACCGAGAAGTGTGGCCTCTGAATGACTCTGCCTGATTAAACTTTCCTTAATGCACAACTGCTAAAAAGTAAATCACATGTGAAGTGCCCACTGTCTGGCCTCATGATAGCAGTGATTATACAGCAAGTTCAGTTTTTGGGTTTGACAGAAGGACTTTTTTGCCTTTTTTCAGTCATAAGGCCTAGGAACACTCACTCCTCCAGACTGACGCATTGTATGGTGGAAGCTTATAACGTCAGTCTGGAGGAGTGGGCGTTCCTTGGCAGATTTTATTTGCATGCAGACTGCCCTAAGGAAACACCCACATGTGATGCTGAGCCTCTATGATTGAAAGAACTGACATCCAATGTATGAAAGAGACGGCTTGGGACAGCCACGCTGGGGAAGAAAGCGCTAGATGATGCTTAACGTCCTCCAACCAGGAAATGAGGCGGAGCTCTATGTGACTTGCTGCAGCTTCTAATGCACATTGTGAGAAGCTCCCAGCGTGCAGTGACACCAGAGGAAGCAATTTCAGTCCAGGAGAGGGGCCAGTACAACTCTGCAAACCTGTAGAGCAGGTCGGAGTTCTTTGTTAGCTGTATGGCCATCAACTGAAATGACATTTTTTTTAAACGTGCGTCACCCGCTGTCATTTTGCTCGCTGCCTCTATGGCACCTGGGATTTGTCCGGGAATGGCTATGCTAATACTTTCCATGTGTTATCCAATACGCCGAGCATGGTGCAAATGGAATTCACTCTTGCATCATATCAATGAAACACAGACAAGAAAAGAAGAGAAATCACGCACCTGACATATTTTCTCCCAAATCTCATCACATCCAGCTTTCTCCTGAAAACTCAGGGCCAGGTCATAGTTTTCAGCCTCTGACCACACGATTAACGTGTCCTGCAAACACAACACCAAAATATAACAATTAGCATTCACAGGAGTAAATGGACAGAAGTAGTTGTGGATGTAAAAAAGAAAACAGTAAAAAAGGTGGACCGCATTCCACAGACGGATCATTCATTTAACCCTTCACTGACATGTAGTCAACTTTCTCAGGCCCAGAATTGAAGACACAAGTCCACCCAGTTCAACCTATGGTGTTAATGTAAAGACCATATTTAATTTATGAATTTCTGCTTTATTTCACAAGCCTTTTATATTTTAAAGGAGAACTATGAGGCGGGTGCTTTTCACTCACCTCATAGTTCTAGCCGACCTGTGACAATGAGACTGTCACAGGTCAGGTCAGTAGATCGGGAGGTGAGCGAACACATACCGGCGTTCGCTCACCTCTCTATCCTGTCACGGCTCTCTGCCGTGACAGGGGAGGGGCTGGATTCCCCCCTCCGATCTGCCAGCGCTGACTGGCGGAACGGACGGGGGAGGGGGTGGGTCCAGCTGGCTCTGCCTCTAGATAGGCAGAGCCAGCTGTCACTCACGCAGCTGGGCGGATCTCGAAATCGATGTCGGGGTCCGCTCCGGCTGCGGGGTCTCAGGGTGAAGGGAGGATGCTAGTTTGTGTCCTCCCGTTACCCCCTAGAGAACTATGGGGAAAAGCCCTGACCCCATAGTTCTCCTTTAAAGCAGACCGAGCTGTCCAGCTAAAGTGATAGCAGTGGTTGGGACAAATAAATGACTGTCAGGGGGTGCTTGTACAATTTAAGCTACATTTAAAGAAATAAAAAAAAAAAAAAGGTATGGTAAAAAAATACATAGACTGATTATTGCAATAAAATGTATTAGCCAAAATGAGTACAGACACTAATTATTGCAATTCAATTTATTAACCATAGGCAATACTTTTTTTTTTTTTGCGGTACTTTGATTTCTTTTTTTTGCAGAGCTATAGATACAGGCAGCTCAGTGTACATTTCCGGCATCTGCAGGGTGTCAGGATGAATGATCGCGGCCTGGCCAATTAGGATGGCCGAAGATCCTGAAACCAGAAGAAGCCTCACAGACGTCCCATTGCTGAAGAGGTGTATAGCTCCGCTATGACAGCAGCAGCTAAGGATCTGCAATGAAGCGTGCTAAAACACAATTGCAATGGAAGTGGCTCCCCAGGAAAGAAGTTTGCTTGATCACGGAACTCCAGGAAAAGAGCGATATACACATTTGAAATGCATATATGTGTTTATTGTTTTACTTGCAAAAGAGGTTTGTAATTCCGCTTAACAAATCTTGTCATCTACACACCTTCTTTGCTACACAGCACAGCCACACGGGTATTCTGATCCAACAATGGGGCTTCCTATGGCACCTCTCTGCCTCCAGGCTACTCTTTTGATAAAATATTAGCATAATCACCTCTCTCCAATTAGCAGGCAGGTGTTCCACGAATCAGTAAAGCTGAACCAGGAAACAAAAAAGTGGTCTTTCTGAAGGTGCCCATACACTGTACGATTCTCGTACGAGAATGGCGGGAAATCCCGTGATCGTACGAGAATCGTAGAGTGTATG